ACCCATCTCCCAGTCCAAGAATGACAATAATACCTTCAAGCCGAAACTTTCTACACGCTCTGCAAAGCTAGAAGGACTGATGGCAGCGGTTGATTAAGAACTATAGTTCTCCACTGGCCTCTACCTGCAGGCCAAGAATCCTGCACCCATCAGACACTTGGGACTACGGGAATGAACTGAGAATAGCCCCATTCTTCCTCAGGGAAGGATGCTGCTCCACCTTCTGCTGGTTTAAAGTCACTTTAACACATAAAAGGTAATGAAAGGTTCACTGAAGAGCAATTTCCTGCTTCAAGTGATCCTGTAGAAGATGGTTTGAGTGCTGGAGCTCCTGAAGAATTTGGTGGGCCTTAGCAGCATGAGCAAGGAAATCTCTTAAGTGCCTGCTAACCTGTTCTCAGTGCTCCTGTGCTCAAGTCATTAGTTTTAACCTAGCACTGTGTGCACAAGCTCAGTGGTGTTGTCAGGAGCTGGAAAGCCAGTAAGGGATTAAGGGAAAGCCACACATGAATTTGGTAACTTGGTTCTTGTAGGATACTTCCTACTGCACAAGTTTTAGTAAAGCCAGGGGGAAGGAGCTGCTTTCTAAAAAGGGACTCCTGGTGGTGCAGTGTATCCAAAGATCTCCAGTGGGCCATCACTGTCAGGCTGTCCGCGGTTGGTTCATGGTCCACATATCAACAGTTAAATGTGTATTTTTGTGCTTTGCTTTCTCCAAAGCCATGGAAAAAGTTTCTTCTACAATGCCATCGGTCACATCAGAGAATTGAAAGGTCTAGTGCTACAATCTGTATGAACTTCTAATAAGTTGGCCTTCAAAAAGAGTATCTTCAATACTGAGTTTTATAATAGTTCTTTTTATCTGTTATTTAAGTGCATTTTTGTATCTGAGCTCCTTCAGAGCAGCATGAGGTTGAGAGTCTTGAGTCCCATGGCCAAGATTCATGTCTTTTCTCCTACCAAGCACACATTCAGTAGGCAAAGACAGAACAGGAACAACCAAGCCTGGAGATGTTAAAGCACAACTACGCCTATCTTAGCTCAATACATCACCTTCACAGAGCAAAAATTCATGAGGAACAGCAGAAAAACCCAGAAGTGCTTCCCAAGTTTCAGGTTACCAGCAGCACCATCACAGAGGTCCAAGACATATGGTCTGCAAGCGTTGCTCAAGTCCTGAGGCAAGTCCCTGCTCAACAATGCAAGGGAGTGTGCCAGGTATGTTGGGGGTCAACTGAGAAGTTTCACACAACAGATGCATTTGTCCTAATTTCTGGCATCAAAAGGCTTTCGGCAGTATTGCTTTCATGAAGTAAACTCCCTCTATCTTCTCCAGATGCTCCAGAATCCACCACTGCTGCAACTGCAACTGCAACGGCTGTGCCAGTATGAGCCATATCCATGGCCAATCTCTTTGACAGCTCCCGTTTCCCCAGGCACATTTGCAGTCCACTCAACCTCCTCTTCCAGCTGAAACACCAGCCCGGTGGCTCTGCCACAGCATCACTGCCAACATGAGAGCTTCGAATACACATCAACCTCCCGCTGCTAACACCCCTGTTAGCACATCATCAGGGAGATGGACCACACACTCTGCATGGAGATGTCACCAAGGAGTCAGTGTCCCCAGACAAGTACCTGGCTTGCCATGGATGGTGTGGGGTCTTTTTGTGTCCCACAAGGAAGCTCCTTCCATCCTGCTCAGACACCAGGCATGACAGCAGCACACGCAGGTGTAACAGTACCTGCAGGTCCCAAATCCCTAACCGATTTTTACATAGCACCAATTTTTAATGTGGTGGCTTTCCCTTAATGCATAACCCCTTCCTTCCTATATTTTTAGTGGGTGGCTCTCTATTATTCTCTCTGTCCACCAGCTTTTCCTTCTAGTTGTCCCAATGGCCATCACGAATCCATTCCAAACCAAGGAGACTGCTAAAGCTGCTACAGCGGCTCCTGGGTGAGACTGGGATACTTAGAAATAGAGAAAGAACAAGGGTCTTTTAGCTGAAACCAACACCAGGCCCTGGCAGCAATTTACTGTGATGATTCATCTCCCTCCCCAAGTGTTGTATTAAAGCTCAAAAAGAACCAACTTCCCCTGGAAGCAGCCACTTGGAAAGGTGCCATTTGAGCTGAGAAGCGACAGCAAGAGGAAGTTTTCTCCAGACTGGCTTTCCTCCTGGAACACCTCACTATCCAGCAAGAAATCCAGCCTATCTATTCAGTTTGAGCATTTTCAGGTGTGTCCAAATTCACCCGGGTGCCACAGTGGTGCTTCTGATACTCTTTCACCCCCCCCCCCGTCCTCAGGAGATCTTCTTTTAACAGTCAAATAACACAGTGGTTTAGATTAGAAGCACGGATGGCCCAGAGCTCTATCTCAGCATCCACCCCAGAACACCAGCTCTGGGAACACTCCATGAGCCCCCAGTACTGATCCCTGCAACAGCAAAAATCACCTTCCACTTGCATTATGAACATCAACGTAAGAAAACAGAAACCTCTCGGATCCAATTCTTAACAAACAAATGTCACCCAACTGGGTTCTTTTAAGCAACCTAAAGGAGAAATTAAGATGACAACCGGGTGCATCCAGAGTTAGTCAGATCCTGAAGGCAATTAGTTCCTTTAGGAAACGGAGGAGCAATTTGTCAGATGACTACATTACAGCACGCCCCTTATACGCATTGCTACAGAAGGAAGGCACAAGGGTTTAACTGACAAAAGCATACATTTGTAAAGCACCTGCACTGGGATCTTCAACTCGAACAACCGAACCCTCCCGGGACTACCCAAGCTTTCCATTTCCCGGCACGGGGCGGACGGGGCACAGCCAGGCCCTACAGAAGGGCTAACGGCAGAGGGGAGGGCCGGGGTAGGGAACAGGAGAGCTGCGGGCCTGTAATGGGGGAGCGGGGCCTGGGGCCTACCTCGAGCACAGGGGAAGCACTCCCCGTCCCCAAAGTCCCGCGGCGCCGAGGCCGGGGAGAACGCCTCCTCCCCCCTCCCGCTGCCTACGGAGAACCCGAACTGCCCCAGCACCCCCCTTGCACTGCCTACAGACACCCCGATGTGGAGGGCTCAGGGCCGCCCACCCCGCCGGGCCCGGGGGCCGCGGCCTGCTTCCTCTGAGGGGAGCGCAGAGGACCCGGTGCTGGTGAGAGGCCATTCCCCAGCCCCTGCGGTCTACGAACGGCTCTAGTTACCGGCGAGCGGGGACTTTACCGAACCCCAGGGGACAGCCTCTGCCGCCGCCGCCGCGTCGCCTCGATCCGCCGGGGCCGCCGCTCGGGCTCTTGCCTTCCCCGCTGCCAGCCTCAAAGATGGCGCCGGGGGCCAGGGCTACCTCAGCCACCCGCTGCCAAGATGGCGGGCGGAGCGGCTTCACGCCCGCCACTTCCGGCCGCTGGAATCGGCTGGGGCGGAGCTCCGCCACTGAGGCTGCACAGAGGGGCGGGCGGCGCCGATAAACAAGGCGGGCGGGCAGGAAGCGTAAACAGATAAGCGGCCGGGCGGGTTTTTTGCCCTTTTCTCCTCCGAGGAATCGCAGCGTTTCCTTTAGCTCCAGACAAATCCCTTCGCCATGGTGGGAATGGGATAATTTCTCCCCTCCCCTCCTTTCTAGCCCGGCTGCGGTGCCCTGCACCCGGCTTCCAGTCAGGGTGTGCGCCCTGCCCATCATGGCGCCAGGCTGGGGTGTCTGAGGGAGCCGTCTCCTTCCTTGTGGCAGTGCCTCACCTCGGAGCTGCTCTTTCCAAGCTGGACGCTCTATTATGTTTTAAGCCTCTTTTCCCAGTGCTCACCCTGGGCCTTGGGAACACCTCTGAGGTCCTGGCAAAGGCAGGCTCCATGGTAGCCCATAGACCTCCACCTGCCTCCCTCAGCTTCCCTCCATGCTGGTGTCCTGGGTGGTACAAGAGGGCATGGGCACTGCCCACAGAAAGCAGGGCTGAGGCTGCACAGGGAAGCTTTTCCACCATGTTCGTGTCACCCAGCTCCACAGGTCGGTGTGGGCAAGGTTTGGATTGAGCCCCATCCCTTCAGCCTCCCCCAGCTCCATCTTCTCCTCATGGCTTGGCCTTGGTGTTACTATAGACGCAGAGGAGCAACCAGCCCTCCATTGAAGGCAGGGAGTCAAACAGCCCCAGTGCAATCAATACGTTTGGGAATCGAGTGTTTCAGGGGGGTTATTTCCTGTTGTCCTTCTTATCTGGGCCTCTATGGAGGCACAACAGTCCCAGCAGGGAGGGAGGACACGGCTTGAAGCCGGGGATCACAACTTCCACCATGCAGCACCTCAAGAGGTGCCATCAGGGAGGGGGGTTAGGGTTAGGGTTAGGGCTCCAGGGCAGCTCAATGCACAGCCCAGCCACGCTGGTTTGGATGTCACTTGACAGCCGGTGCTGGTCTTTGCTCAGGGATGGGATGCTTTTGATCCCCATCCCTCTTCCCACCCCACGGGCCCCACTTCCACGCTCCAGCTTGCTCCGACGGGGAGCCCGAGCATCCTAGGAGAGGATGTGGGATGGATTTCACAAGCTGGTGGACACGCATCAGGTACATGTGGGCACATTTTATTCTCTGGATGCATTTGCGCAGCGTTTCTGCTCAACAGCCAAAGCTTTATTGATTCCAAACCAGGACCCTTCTCCCCCCTTCAGATTTCTATGTACCCCCTTTCCCACCCCTCAACCACTCTTTTGCTTCCATTTGGATTATTATCCCTGCTTGGAGTCTGTTGTCTCAGAAGCCACCAACTGACAATTCATTCAAGTTTGGTTTTTCTCCCCGAGAACCATATAAATTACATGCAAAACATTGTACATAGAGATTAATATCAAAATGCATTACAGATCAGGTGCACTTGAAGCTGGACTCTAGGATATGGCAAACACACCAGGGTACATATTGCTTTGAAACCACCATTGTTTTTTGTTTTAATGTCATGCATACCACGTAATAGTCTTTTGTTTTGTATTTTTGGGTTTTTTGTACAAAAATACCAGTGCTTATTATACTTAGTTACTGGAAAAGAAAAAAAAAAACAACTCAGGTCTGCGTGCCCTCTTCAAAAGAAAGGTTTGTTGTGAGAGCATTGGATAAATATATATACACACATAAATGTTGATTTAATACTGTATATATATATATATTTATTTAAGGGGAGGAAATAAACTAAAGGCAGTTTTAGCCATGGGCTTTGCTGAAGGAAACCTCCATTCTGTTGTTGAGCAGGAGGATAACAGAGGCAGAGCCCGAGATCAGCCCGGCTCGGTGGCAGGGTAGCAGAGAGATGCTGGAGAGGAACAGCCAGGCATTGCCCTGCAGGTAGGAGAGCGGTCCCCCCACGTCACCGAGCTCCACTGGGGAGAGCTGGGATGCAGGAGGATGGTTTATGGGTTGATAAACTTGAAGGAGCTGGACCAAGCAGCGAGAAGCGATGGCAGACAGGTACATCTGTCCTGCGCCAAGAGGTACAAAGCTTGCAAGGACTCTTCTTTGACGTGCTTGGTCCCTGCAGGAGGGCAACGGCATCCCTGGAGCTGGGATGGGGCTTTTCCATTCACCCCAATGGCATGTCACCCCCGAGAAGCATTTCTGAAGGGGCTGAGCACTACAGGATGGCTACTCCTCGACTGGGGAAAGCCAGAGGCTGCCCATGCTAAAAGTTGGTTTAGTTTTTTTCCTTCTTGAGATTGTTTCAAAACTTTCCTCCAAGCTTATTGCACAAAAACCTTTGAAAATGAAGTAAAACCCCTGTGCAAATCAAAGGAAACCTCACCACAGAATGCAAATGCCTAAAAATGCCGGTTCAGCAACGCACACAGGACGTGGTGTAAATGTCTTTGGTACCAATCTGCCAATTTATTTCACATTAAAACCACCACCACCACCACCAGCGACCCTACTGTTATTAAGAACTGGATGCAAACGTATGTTCAGAGTGTTTTAATAACAAAGCATTCCAAGGCAAGTTAACACGGAGCACAGGGTATGACTTCGGTTCCTGTCTGGCATGGCACTCTCCCCCCGTGCACACTCGTGGCAGTTCAGACAAAGCAGAAAATAATAATATATATATATATTTCCCCCTTTTCAAGGCATGTTGCAGAGAGTCCCCACAAGTTCATGCTGCTTGACCATGCCTTTCAATGTAGAGCACCAATCTCCCCCAACTCTTTTGTAGCATCCTCAATAACTTAACCCAATCTGCTGCCAGTATATCACAGAAACTAAATAGGAAACATACTTTACAGGGAAAAAACAAAAGAAGGATGTATGCACAATAAACGTTGATACTTTAAGCAACCAGCCATACCAACATAATTTATATATATATATAAAAACCCCATTTCTGTCATCCAACTAACATCTAGTATAAAGATGGCTGCTTGGAGAAAAGGAAGCTGACTGGCATCCGCCTGTGAACTGCTGTCACACAGCCACGCGACTCAAGGCTTAGTTAGTTTTTTTTTGTCTTTTAAACAAAATACATATGGCTGACGTAAAAATATCCATTTCTGAGCTAAAGAAAACTATATTTTTTTATATCTTTTTTTTTGCATAATATTTATATAGAATTCTTCTTTCTCCCCCCCCCCACAACGTGGAAACTAGAACAACAAAAATAGATCAACTCAGAAACAACCAGACCCATGTGGCAACCTTCTGGGAGTGACTTTGAGAGCCTCCAAAGTTGGCTTTTTGTTGTTGGTTTAAGTCTTTGCAACAGGTCTGAGGTATTAAAAAAATATCAAAAGAAAGAAAATTGGTGCAATTCCCCCCAAAGTATTTAATAAATATTTCTGTGTAAGAACACCATATTTTCACCTTTTTTTTTTTCTTTTTTCTCAAATATTTAACATAGAAAAAAGTGATCTTTGAAGCAATGTCACCTTTAGTACAGCCTCAAACCCCACAACCACCCCTTTTGGCTCTCCTGTCGCCACTTGTGGGTAACCCCCCCCTGCCCTGCCCAGGGTAGGTCTCAGGCTCATGTATGGAAGGAACGGGGAGGGCAGGGGGCTTGACATTGAATTTGCAATTGAGATGGGGCAGTGGTGGCAATTTCTTCTTGCTGTTGGCAGTGTAGAGCCCAGCCTTCACCCCCTTTGCCAGCACCGAGCCAGGACACCTGGGAGAAGGACCTTTCCTCTGGGCAGGAATGGGGTGAGCTCGTACTTCCCTCCTCCCACCCCAAGGAAGGGACGAGTCGGTGCTGGGCTGGCAACAAAACAAAGACACTTGGTTTGTGTTGGTGGTTAAGGAACACTTATTTCTTGGCAAAGTACTGGGCCCTCGCGTGGCAGGTGGTGCTGCAGGCAGTGCTTGGAGAAGGCACGGGAGATTCTGCTGTGCGTTCAGAAAGGAAAGGAAAGAAGAAACCAGCCAGCCCCACCTCTCACTCAAAGCTCTCTGCTTCCAGGGATGGACGCTAGGCAAACACAATGATGTTGTACAGCCAGTTACAACGACGTTCTCTCTGCTTCCAACCAAGCCAAGCAGGATGAAGGAGAGAAGGCAGTGGAGCTTCCTCCAGCCCTGCCTGCCTGGGGCCAGTAACCAGGGGTGCACCAGCAAGGGGAAGAAACTAAGCCTAAGCAAAGCAAACTGCTGCATCCTGCTCAGTCCCATGGCTTCACAAGAGGGTCAAGTTCAGAGGACACTGGGGGCCTCTGGTCCACTAAAACAGGACTCCTGCCAAATAGTTACAAGAGACCAAGGTGAGGCAGGATGCAGGGTGAAGAGATGACCTTCAAGAAAGCAGGAAGTGAGGCAAAGCCTCCATGCAGCACCTTTGCTGGAAGACCTGCAGCTAACCAACCAACCAACCTGCACCTCGGGCAAATCAAGGGTCCTGCCATGGGTGCTAGAGCCTCCTCCCCTTCCACTGGCTAGAGCCTGAACCTGACTTACCCCTTCCACAATCGAGAGGTTGACCCACTGGAGTGTCAATAACCTGATGCTTGCTCTCCACTCAGCCTGCTAACGCTTGGGCAGCGATGCACAGAGCTGGTGGGCATGGCTGGAGCATCCTCTGGGGTTCCTCAGCAGTTAACCAGAGCTTGTACTCCAAGGCAAAAGGATTATTTAACCCAACAGTACAGACATGCCAGAACGGGCAGAAGTCCCTTTGCTCTTGCTGGCAGGAGCTGTTCAACCTTTGCAAGGCTCTCCCTTTCACAGCTCTTCAAAAGCAGAAGAGATGAATCTCTTAAGACTCCCCAGGAAGGAGCCCTTCTCACAACCATGGGTTTTTTCTTCACCACCCTTCCACTGCCAATTCACCTCCACCTTGCTTTGTAGAGAAACCAGAAGCTTTTACATCCAGCAAGGTTACAGCCAAGTCACCTTCATTCCTTACCTACCAATGACTGCTTTGGAAACAGAGAGAGGAGTGTGTGCGCACACACATGGAGGAGGAACTGCAAAGGCTAGGTACCATTTTCAAGGTGGAAGACTGGTGTATACATCCCTGTATCTGTCAAACCTGTGAGTAAACACCTTCCCCTGGCTGGGTTGATTTTTCATTTATTTGTCATTTCTCCCCCACTTCTCACTGTGGAGTTCTTGGGGGCAAATCCCACAAGCAAAGAACAAACCCCAACATTAGAAGAAAACCCTAAAAACCACAAGTGGAGAAAAAAAAAAAACCTAAAAGAAAAAGAAGAAATAAAAATCAAAGTCACAAATGCTCCCAGCCCTGAGGCTGAGCATGTGTGTGTAAGACTACAAGAACTTGAACTTCCTTTGAACATGCATTTTACAACGTGACCCCCCCCCCCCAACAACAGACACATGGAGCCCAACTCTCGGAGAGGAAATAATCTGGCTGCTTCACTTGGGCGAGTACCACTGAAAATGAGGGATGGAGATGCACAAGTTTGGCTTCGCCTCTCTCCCAACACCCAGCATCGTGGTACTCTGGTTCCCACTGCTAAATAATGGTAAAAAAAAAACCAAAAACCAAAAAACCCAAATCAAAACAACCCCCCCCAAAATGAAACACCAAAATGATATACGTATGAGCAGTTTGACACGAAGTGACCGCAGTGTGTGATCAGTTACTGGTGCCGGTGTCACACAGGGCGAGGGGCGAAGGTGGAGGAGGAGAGGGGGTTCAAAGTTCTAAGGTCAAACTGATGTCTCCAAGCTGTGTAAGGGGCTTTCAGGCTCCGGGACGGTGAGCTCAGCTTGATCGCTGTCCACTGCATTGTTATTTCTGTTGAGGGGTGTAGATCCACCCAGGATACCCCCACCTCGCTTTTTGAGTCCGTCAGTCTCGGGGTTGTCTTCAGCGCCGTCAAGGAATGGTGTTCGAGGCTCGTCTTCCTCCAGGATGAACTCTGGGTGAGTCATGAAGTTATGGATGGAGCTTCTGGATTCGGGTTTCTCGAGGCCTTCGTACAAGGAGCTACGGAACGCATTCACCACTTTGATCTGCCGGAGGCGAGGAGCGTGGGGGATAAACAGAAGAGGGGTTAGTATCTGCTATGAGGGGCCAGAGCTCCCAGGAGAAAGGCAAAATAACTCATAAAGACACAACAAAAAGCACAACAACAACAAGAACCACCACTGAGCAGACAGCTAAGTCGAAATGAAACATCTATGGTGAACTAGGAGGGCCAAGATGGATCAGACTCAGGCACTAGGTGTGTGATGGGGAATCAACCGACTATGGGGCGACTTCAGAAGCTGCAAGAAAAGACACAAAACAACTCAAAACCCACAACCAACCCCCACATCACTTCCAATGAACAGAAGCCAAAAGGCATTAGTTGTCATTATGGGTGCGCACGCGTATCTGTGTGTACAAACGAGGACAAGTGGAACTACGACTCAAAAAAGAGGTGGGTTAGACAAACAGCAGAAAAAAAAACAAACTACTGTGGGAGCCGTGTTGTGTGTGTTCTAGTTTGGGTTTAGACCTATAGAAAGGAATGGGCTTCAAAAAGGTGTCACAAACTTTTCAAGCCCATGTGAAGCAGCAGGTCCAAGTGGATGCCATGAGCACTAAAACTGGACCCAGCTAAGCATGCAAGAAGGAAGCCAGATCTGTGCGAGTTTGCCCACACGGCTGCCACCTGGATCCTGGGCTGGAGCTCTGGATCCATCCCTACATGCTGAAGAAGACCCAGCAGTTTCCAAAGGCCGTTGTTCTTTTGGATGCTCTGCACGAAAAATCAATCTCAAACTCTGCTAGAAAGCCTGGCCACACATCCACAGGCTGCCAGTCCTGCCACAAGCCAGACTCAGTGTGTTCCAAGCAGATCCAGAGCCCAGTTTGGACAACCGGGGTATGGCTCTGCTACCTCCATAGCACTGGAAAGGAGAGGTCTGGAAGCAAGCAAGTGGTGGATTCACTGATCCCTCCATTTGCTCTGGAAATCCAGCCTTGAGGCCTCCAGCTCTCGCCCTCCCTTGCAGCCAAGTCACAGTTTGGATGGATGGGTGACAAGCATCAGACCCAGTGAACAGAGGGGCAGGAGGTGGCAGCACCGTGGGGCTGCAGCAGAACTCTCTACCCCAGTGCAGCCACCGGCATGCATGAGCCAATGACTTGTGCATCCCAAGTGCAGCAGAGCTCCAACTGTCCTGGGTGAACTGGGGCTATCATCACTCCAGAAGACGCCAGAAGGCATCAACTGCAGGAGGGCGATGCGGTATGTGGGGTTCTGAAGCAGAGCTAACAAACCAAGCAGCTCAGGGTCTCCCAAGGGAACTGGGACATCTCCTGCCTTTCTAGAGGAGGAAGCTACTGACAACATTGTCAGCAAGCACGAAGCATCCTGCACACGCTCTCATGTGTCTTATGACAGCAAGAGAGGTCATCTTATGACCTGTTAAGCAGAGGTCATCTGGGACCAGGAGATCTGCTCCACTTCTCCTCTGGGAAGGAAATGCCTCCAGAACACTGTGAGACTTTGTTCAGCATCACTGAGCACAGCAAGGACATCGGTAACACCTCCCTGTAGCAGTGCCAGTCATCCTGCTCCATCTCTTGCCCCGTGGAAGCAGCAGGAGCTACCTTCATCTGCTCTCAACACTCAAGGAACCCAGTCCCCACTGTTTTCCCTGCATGGCATCCCTGGGGACTGAAGCTGGGGTGCAAAACGGAGGAGATCACACATCCCACAAAAAGGATGCTCCTCTGCAGCATCCCTAAGCTACACCTTGAGAACCTCCCCATCACCCAGCCACTGCCCAGGGAGCACAGAGCTGCTGATTCAGATATCCCCTTGCAAGGTGACAAGGCAAATAAAGATGTTTGTTCTGCCACTTCTTTGTGAATGGGCTGCAGATCTGGTGGGTGAACAGAGATTACACCCTTCTTCTTGGTGAGATGAGCTGGGTTAAAGTGTCCACCTTGGTCTGGTACACAGGCAGGATAGGAGGGAAGTCACCAACCAGCACAGCCAGCGAGAGCCTGCTGGGGATCTTTGGTATCAGCACAAACAGCATTCACAAAACCAGATCAGAGAGGCAGCCCAAGGAAGAGTCTCATGCCTGGATCCCTGGAGGTTTTACCTGGGAGATGCTCCAGGGCTCCCCTCTCAGGAGGGCTGAATCCAGTCTCCATCTGGCTCAGAGATGGTGCTGCCCTACCTGGGGCAGCAACGTGGCACCCCCAGGCACAGGCTCAGCACATCCCAGCTGGAAACAAACACACCAGCCCTGCACACACCAATGGAGCTGCACACGCACACATGAGCTGGATGACAAGCACTCATGAGGTGATGAGAGTGGGCCAGGTACCCCCCGGGATGCTGGAGCACCAGCTGGCCTGCAAAAGTGAAGATTTATGTAGCTGGGCCCAG